ATATGCACACAATACAGGAGTACCCAGATACATAAAGAAAGTTCTTAATGACCTACAAAGAGAATGAGACTCCAACACAATAATAGTGGGAGACTTTAACACTGCACTGTCAATATTAGATCAACCAGATGGAAAATTAACAAGGATATCCAGGACTTGAACTCAGATCTGGACCAAATGGACCTAATAGACATCTACAGAACTCTCCACCCCAAATCCACAGAATATACATTCTTCTCAGCACCACATCAAACTTATTCTAAAATCAGCCACATAATTAGAAGTAAAACACTCCTCGACAAATGCAAAAGAACGTAAATCATAACATTCTCTCAGACCACAGTGCAAACAAATGAGAACTCAGGATTAAGAAACTTACTCAAAACTGGACAACTACATGGAAACTGCAAAACGTGTGCCTGAATGACTACTGGATAAAGAATGAAATGAAGCAGGAATAAAGATGTTATTTGAAACCAATGAAAGTGAAGGCACAATGTACCAAAATCTCTGGGACACATTTGAAGCAGTGTGTAGAGGGAAATTTATAGCACTAAATATCCACAGGATAAATTAGGAAAGATAAAAAATTGACACTCTAATGTCACAATTAAAAAAAACTAGAAGAGCAAGATCAAACAAATTTAAAAGCTAGTAGAAGACAAGAAATAACTAAGATCAGAGCAGAACTGAAGAAGATGGAGACAAAAAAGCCTTTCAGAAAATCCGTGAATTCAGGAGCTGGTTTATTGAAAAGATCAACAAAATAGATAGACTGCTAACCAGACTAATAAAGAAGAAAAGAAAGAAGAATCAAATAGATGCAATAAAAAATGATAAAGGGGATATCACCACTGATCCCACAGAAATACAAACTACCATCAGAGAATATTATAAACACCTCTATGCAAATAATCCATTTCTTCTAGATTTTCCAGTTTAATTCCTGGATACTTACACCCTCCCAAGACTAAACCAGGAAGAAGTTGAATTCTTGAATTGAGGCAGCAATTAATAGCCTACCAAACAAAAAAGTCCAGGACCAGATGGATTCACAGCCAAATTCTACCAGAGATACAAAGAGAAGCTGATATCATTCCTTCTGACATTATTACAAACAATAGAAAAAGAGGACATCTTCCCTAACTCATTTTATGAGACCATCATCATCCTGTTACCAAAACCTGGCAGAGACATAACTAAAAAAGAAAATTTCAGGCCAATGTACATGATGAAAATTGATGCAAATATCCTCAATGAAATATTGGTAAACCAAATCCAACAGCATTTCAAAAAGCTTATGCATCACGATCAAGTCAGCTTCATCTCTGGGATCCAAGGCTGGTTCCACATATGCAAATCAATAAATGTAATCCATCACATAAACAGAACCCAAGACAAAAAACCACATGTTTATCCTAATGGATGCAAAGAAGATCTTTGACAAAATTCAACAGCCCTTTATGCTAAAAACTCTCAATAAACTAGGAATAGATGGAACATATCTCAAAATGATGAGACCTATTTATGACAAACCCATAGCCAATGTCATACTGAATGGGCTAAAACTGGAAGCATTCACTTTGAAAACTGGTACAAGACAAGGATGTCCTCTCTCACCACTCCTATTCAACATAGTATTGGAAGTTCTGGCTAGGGCAATCGGCATGAGAAAGAAATAAAGGGTATTCAATTAGGAAAAGAGAAAGTCATGTTGGCATAACAGATGGCATGATTGTATATTTAGAAGACCCCATCATCTCAGCCCAAAAACTCCTTAAGCCAATAAGCAACTTCAGCAAAGTCTCAGTATACAAAATCAATGCAAAAAAAATCACAAGCATTCCTATACACCGATAACAAACAGCCAAATCATGAGTGAATTCCCATTCACAATTGCTACAAAGAGAATAAAATACCTAGGAATACAACTAACAAGGGATTTGAAGGACCTCTTCAAGGAGAACTACCAATCACTGTGCAAAGAAATAAGAGAGAACATAAACAGGTGGAAAAACATTCCATGCTCATGGTTAGGAATAATCAATATTGTGAAAATGGCTATACTTCCCAAAGTAATTTATAGATCCAATGCTATCCCCATCAAGCTACCATTGACTTTCTTCACAGAATTGGGAAAAAACACCTCAAATTTCATATGGAACCAAAAAAGAGCCAGCAGAGCCAGGACAATCCAAAACAAAAATAACAAAGCTGGAGGCTTCATGCTACCTGACTTCAAACTATACTACAAAGCTACAGTAATCAAAACAGCATTGTATTGGTCCCAAAACAGAGATATAGACCAATGGAACAGAACAGAGGCCTCAGAAGTAATGCCATGCATCTACACCCAGCTGGTCTTGGACAAACCTGACACAAACAAGCAATGAGGAAAGGATTCCCTATTTAATAAATGGTGTTGGGTAAACTGGCTAGCCATATTGAGAAAGCTGAAACTGGATGCCTTCCTTACACCTTATACAAAAGTTAACTCCAGATGGATTAAAGATTTAAACATAAGACCTAACACTGTAAAAACCCTAGAAGAAAACCTAGGGAATACCATTCAGAACATAGGCATGGACAAGGACTTCATGACTACAACACCAAAAGCAATGGCAACAAAAGCCAAAATAGACAAATAGGATCTAATTAAACTTAAGAGCTTCTGCCCAGCAAAAGAAACTATCATTAGAGTGAACTGGCAACCAAAAGAATGGGAAAAACATTTTTGCAAGCTACCCATCTGACAAAGGGCTAATATCCAGAATCTACAAAGAACTGAAACAAATTTACAAGAAAAAAACAACCCCATCAAAAAGTGGGCAAAGGATATGAGCAGACAGTTCTCAAAAGAAGACATTTATGCAGCCAATGAACATATGAAAAAAAGCTCATCATCACTGGTCATCAGAGAAATGCAAATCAAAACTATATTAAGATACCATCTCATGACAGAATGGTGATCATTAAAAAATCAGGAGACAACAGATGCTGGAAAAGATGTGGAGAAATAGGAATAGTTTTACACTGTTGGAGGGAGTGCAAATTAGTGCAACCATTGTGGAAGACTGTGTGGCAATTCCTCAAGGTTCTAGAAATAAAAATACCATTTGACCCAGCAATCCCATTACTTGGTATATTCCCACAGGATTATAAACTGTTCTATTATAAAGACACATGCACAGGTATGTTTATTGCAGCACTGTTCACAATAGCAAAGACTTGGAACCAACCCAAATGCCCATCAGTCATAGACTGGATAAAGAAAATGTAGCACATATACACCATGGAATACTATGCAACTACAAAAAGGATGAATTCGTGTCCTTTTCAGGGACATGGATGAAGCTGGAAACCATCATTCTCAGCAAGCTGACACAAGAATAGAAAACCAAACACCACATGTTCTCACTCATAAATGAGTGTTGAGCAATGAGAACCCATGGACTCAGGGAGGGGAACATCACACACTGGGGCCTGCCAGGGGGTAGAGTGCTAGGGGAGGGATAGCAGGGGTTGGGGGGATAGGGAAGTGATAGCATTAGCAGAAATAACTAATGTAGATGACAGGGTGATGGATGCAGCAAACCACCATGGCACATGTATACCTATGTAACAAAACTGCGCATTCTGCACATGTACCCCAGAAGTAAAAATATTTTTTAAAATTATAAAGTACCTTGTAAAATATTAATCTGAACTTTAGTAATATACAACTTATTTTTGTCAAAAAGCACTGTCATCATCAAACACTTTAAGTTCCAGTCAGTTGATGGGATGGCCTACTAAAATATTTGCCTTTGAAGGACATATACAATAAAAATTTTTGATGCATAAGTATATGTACATCTGTATACATTAGTATGGCTTTGCCACATTCAGTAGTCTTTTTTATGTTCAATTTATAAAAAGATAGATTTTTGGTTTTCCTGAGTACTGTATGGCAACAATTCTATGATAGAAATAATAGGTCAGTAGTTGGAAATAGCAAGTGTGTGTTGAATGAAGAAAATTATTTACATAAATGATCATACATTGATAGATTCTTATGATATTTCAAAAACCCGACAATCTTAAAGATCATTTTATTAATTATAACTTGGTCAAGATTTAAATGGTGCATATTATATCAGCACATCTCAAATGTATGTACAATACTTTAGTAAAACAAAAAATTTCAAAAGTAAAATAAAGGCCAAAGACTTGCAAGATCTAAGGCCATGTAAGAACATAGTGAAAAGATGGCAGTTTACAAGCCAGGAGAAAAGGCCTCACCAGACACAAAACCTACTGACACCTCGACCTTGGATTTCTAGCCCCAGAATTGTGAGAAAATATATTTCTGTTATTTAAATTATCCAGTCTGTGGCATTTTTGTTTTGGCAGTCCTACCACACTAATATACTCCCTGTAACGGAATAAACATGAATCTTACCTTGCACCAATGATGGAGCAACACAATGTTTTCACATTGTTAAGAACACTTTGCCTTATTCTATTCACAAGTTCTCCATCTGCACACACACATACACATCTTTTATTAGAAGTAATGTTTAATTAACTATGCACATGCTTTCCAATGGCTAACCGTAGATTAGTTCACAAAGCTCAAAGAGGACGGGCTTCATACTTGCATATGTACTGGTCCATTTCTTCTAAGAAGAAAAGTGAAGGACAAGAAGAGTCTAGGATTCACTGTAGCATTCCCTCATGCCATTGAAAAATACTTAACTAACCTTCACTTTCAAATCTCTCATTATAAATCACATACACATGCAATTTGTCAGTTAACTGCCAGTAGTAAATGTTAGTGTTCTAATAAACTAGGTATTAGCTGATGTAATGAGTGGTATAATGTAGGTTTTCACTACTATAAGCCATACTTAACAGTTTAGAAAATCAACAACATATTAAACAAAGGTTAGTGCTCCTGGAAGAATTCCTTGATAAACAGTTATTTTCTGGCAGAATGTAACTATTTTTTCTGCTTTGAGAAAGATAGAACATGTTCTGCTGGCTTAGCAACTATTGAGAGTTTGTGCATAGGGAAAAATATCACACACACACAGACACACACACACACACACTCACAAAGATAATTTTCATCACTGAAACTGCACATTTATAGATGGGAAGGTAAGGAGATGTGGGGCAGGGGACTAAAATCCAGGCCTGATGCTTGTTTCCTTTTGTGTTCTCCAAAGACAAAGACATTGTTTTGACTAAGAATAAATAAATGAAAGGCAGGGAGTAGTGTGACATATTTGGGAGTTTTCTTTAAATGCGAGTTTGCCGTCCCCAGCTGTCAGGAATGGTATTAATCTGGTGAAAGAACTCTTCATGCTATGGCTATTTACTTAACATTGCTATTTACAAACATCATCATGGAGCTGCCAGATAGAGGAAGGCAGATTCACAGACTACCTAGTGGCAGCAATTTCCAGGGAAGATCATATGTGTTCTGTCAAAATATATTCCCTTACCAGAGCTTTTGGAGACTCAAGCTAGTCAAAACTAATTGGGAAATATTTAGTAGGACAAGAAATTGAAAATAACCATTTTGATAGGACATTCTTGAAAGAATGGGTTATAGTCTGTATTTAAGAGTGTGCTATTTTAGTTGGAATTTCACATCTCATAGCCCAAGTCCTTTCATTAAGCACATCCCTATAAGTCTTACCCTTTATGCATAAAACTTTATTTTGTTTACTTATTCACTACTATGTGTTCTACAGCAAAAAAAAAGTTATTAACACGAGTGCAAAACTTGTTAATGTGCCACAGGGATAAATTATGGTAAATTCTTTGTAAAAGGATAAAAGTGATATAATGTAGGGTTAAGGATGTTCCACTGAGAGACAGGAAACCTGCTTTCCTCTCTTGATTAATCTGTTGGGCAACCACTGGAAATTATAAACATCCCTGCACTCAAAGGTTCTTATTTGTAGAATGATGAAATTGGATGAGATCTTGCCTAGTGTACCTTATATTCTCTAGTGTATCATTATATTCCAGCAATTACGACAAAACTTCTACATTGTAACCACAATGATGAGCATTATTCTGTTTCATCCAAATAAACGGCATTGTCCTGGTTGATTCTCATCACACCCTTGCAAGGTAGGTATCATCATCCCTATGTCACTAAGAGCCAAGGCTTTGAGAGAATAAAGAGAGTGCTAAACACAGTCTGCAAGTTGCTGGGCAGGTCCTCTGTATTCTAATTAGTGTATATGCTCTTCACCTGGACCAAAACTTTATTGATGGGCACAGCTATGTGTTGTTATCAAAGTTGTCCCTCTAGAATGCTGGATTTCAAATACCTAAGAGATGGGCAAACTGTATGAATATATCTAGGTGTTGGAGTACAAGTTGATTGTCAGCCATTTCCCTGAGCTCCCAGACCTTTTTAGTTGTTGCCTTACACACACTCCCTCACCAACAAATGATCCATTCAGCAACTAAGGGAGAATGGTTAACACAATCTTCTAGGACTTTATCCAGCTTTAGGTCCAGTCTTTATAAACAGTCATGGTGCCACTTTCCAAATGCAATAACAGACATATATACAGGGAGTCTCATCCATAAGGCAGGCTGAGAAAAGATGCAGCCAGTGTCCACACAGCCCTTTCACAGTTTTATTGCCAATGAAAAAAGTAAATGTGGCACAGCAGGGCTATAGACAACAGCATTTTCTGGCTTAAACGTCTGTAGAGTAAGCTCTTTATGAATTGCTTCTTGAGATTTAACATTCTCAAGATTTAACATTCTTCTTGATTTCTACTCGGGTCTCTGAGATCAGAGACATTATGATGGTGTTAAGCTCCTGGGAAGAAGAATTTGGCAGAGCAGTGGGCTGTTTCTAAGTTCCTGACTTAGTCTTTCTAAAAATGACAAAGGATTACCATATATGGTCAGTGGCGAAATGGCCAAATGGTCTCTGATAGGCTTTCTCTAATGGCCCGTAAAAGTCACTTGATGGTTGTTGCTACAAAGGCAAATATTTTCTTAACTTATAACTAAGGCCTATATTCCAATGACTGGTGCCTACTGCCTAATTCAGGGAGCTCTAATGCAGCCTTTGAACATAACAGCTCCACAGGTTAAATGAAAACTGATTTCTCTACAAGTCCATCTTGAACTAAACTGTTCCCCTTCCTTATTCAAGTTAGAATCAGTGTTGCAGTTTGGTGGTCTTATAAAAAAAGTAAATTGTGCTTTATGTTTTTTCTGTGTTAAGTGAGAAGTACCTTGACATTTCTGTCAGCTTTCTTTCAAACACGATATTGCTTCAGATTTTGTATATGTACAAACAGATTCGTCCACATGGGTCTTAGTGAGTGTGTTTGTTTTTCAGTTGCTTGTAGTAGCTGAGCATAAGTGGATATACTGTATTTTCTCTGTAAACTATCTAAGGGAGATCTCTCTGAAGAATGGCACTGGGTATTTCTGTGGGTAGCGGCAGATTCCTGAAAGAAAGAACTTTGATTTTATATAAGAAATCTGTTCCCTGAGAGCACATTGCAGATGATTCTGCATCCACTCACTGCTTAATGAATACAGACTGGCAGAATTTCCTCAGGGACAGTTGGGCATAACAATTTGGCTGCTTCTAAAGCCCATATTTCTTTGTGACACTCTAAAGGAACAGTTGAACTTCAGTGAACCAGGGGCTTCATTCTTCACTGTTCGGGCAGTTTCTCTAAATTGTTTGGTACTGTCAATTGAGTTGGAAAAGTACATGCCTGACTGCTGGTGAGTTTTATTGAACTGAGTGATCCTGGCATTTGTATTAGGATTTGGAAGTTGCATGCTCCTTGTGAAGATGAGTTTCAAAGTGCTCCTGTGCTACTTTTACAGTATAGATTCAGAAAACATCTCCTGTTTTTATTCTTTCTTAATGCTCACTACCATTTATGAGTCAAGTGATTCCTCTGAAAAATATTACTCAGTAAATCTTCATATTTTTAAAGCTTTTTCACTGGACAATTGTCAAAAATCTGCAAAATGATGAAATCACCCCAACATTTGACAACTCAGAGGTTCTAGTTATGTTCTTGGAATTCAACAACCAGAAAGACTGTGTCTCTTTTTGCTAGATGGACCCTTTCAGAATCGATTGAGATCACCATATCCTTACTTTGTTATATAAGGGAAATTTGACTACTATAGACTATGAGCATGATGTATAAACCATCATGAAAATAGACACTGAAGCCAAAATTCTGATGCCAATTTAAGTTGATTTACTCTTTCTTCATAGAGCCCCTTCAATTTTAATCATGTGAATAAAGTTCAGAAATATTAACCACAAGTTAAGGTGGTAGCATCTTTTTCATGTTTCTTTTCATGTCAAAACAGATATCATGTCTAGGAGGCAAGAATTCTCATATTTAACTGAGGATTCTCAATAATACTATAATATGTCACCCTCTACAAAGCATTTCAATATGCATTATCTCCCTTGATCTTTATAACAATGTTTCAAGCAATAAATTCTATGGGAATATGATTTTGTTTGGTAGATTCAGTTCCAAAGTGCCCAATGAAAGTTAGAATTTGAGTTTAATCTAGAGAGAGGAAGCATAAACTCTGCATATGTATTCTCTGTAGGAAGATAGCATCTCTCTACATCCCAGGGGTGTAGCCCCAGATACAATTCAGGTATTTAGAGTATGCCTTGTCATGCCCTTTTACCCTTACTCCTTATGGACATGCCATGACTTTATCTTTTACTACCATGATCACCACTCCCGGGGCCTCTTTTCAAATGGCTCAACAAGAAGGCAGAGGGGGTAGGATGGGGCACTACCTAAATTTGGAGTCTAGAGACTTAAATTCTAAGCCCAATTTTGAGATAGTTTGACGTCTGACTAACATCATCTGTTAAATGACAAGGAAGGTGGATGACAAGATGATCCTTTGAGTTTGGATTATTATCCCAAAAAACACAATCCCAGATTCCAAAATCCACAATGTTAAAATCCTGAAAGATCGGTATCCTTAAAGTCTAAATTCCTAAAGTCTACAATTCCTAACATCTAAAATCCTGAAAAATCACAATCACAAATTGGTTGCACCATGTTGGCCAGGCTGGTCTCACACTCCTGACCTCAAATCCACACACCTTGGCCTTCTCTTACTGTCTTTATGCTGAAGAAAATGAATTTCAGATGAATCCCCAAACCATAATGACAGATTTGGAATTAGGTGTAATTAAGGTTTCTAAAAATAAATTTCAAGGTGTTTCCAATAGTTTGTTTTTTTCCATTCACCCCAATGTATTTGACAGAAAATTAAGATGAATCAATTGGCCATGAGGTAAGGCAATGAAGAAAACTTCAGTTTGAAAATAGTTTGACAATAACTGGGAAGACTTTTTAAAAATAACAATGGAATTGGTATAGTTGGGATTGCAAATTAAAACTTGGAATTAAGAGAGAAGATGGAGTGTATGTAGAAGGGCTGTTAAAAATGTAAAACTTGGTTGCATTATTTGTGGAGGCTCAAACTTGTGAAGGTTAAATACCATAATTTTTCCATTTGTTCTGCATTTTGATTCTGAAAAGAAAGCTGGCTTTGCCCATTTCTTATTTTAAAAACTTGTTGTAAATCCAGTTGTCTAATGGGATCTATATGAAGTTAGCCATGTCTGTATGCCCTTCTCTCACAAAATACCGTATAACTAGTGTGCTTGTAGTAGTTAACTCCACTGTCTTTGTAAGCTAATGAAATTGTGAGTCACCCATTTATATCTTAATTTTTAATCATGTCAGTTCTTGAATGGGTATCTCCTTAGCCTGCTGATTTCTTTTTCTTTCTAAAGAAAGTGGGTGGAGAAATTAATTTAGATGTTTGTTTGCAATAAAAAGAATTCATTAAAAAAAAAAAAAAGAAAGAAAGAAAGAAAGAAAGAAAAAGAAAGAAAGAAAGAAAGAAAGAAAAAGAAAGAAAGAAAGGAAGGAAGGAAGGAAGGAAGGAAGGAAGGAA